CATGTTTGATCACCTAAGAAGGGACACTCAAACAACACCTGTCTCTTTTCCCTCCATCTCAACAGAGGTGATCAGTGATCACATTTCTCAAGGATACAGACCTTAAAAGAAAATCTGTATCATTGTTAATAAAAATGGTGCAATTGTGTCTGAAAGTAATATATTCCAACGAAGACCTTTTAATGGAATACTTCCTCTGATCTAAGTGGATTTAAGATCTCAGCAATTTTAATAACAAGTCAGATAAAGCCAACCACCAGGAGTATAATTGATTTGTACAATAATTAGAAAATTTAATTAGTTATTTAATTTTATTCCATAGCAAAAAGAATAAGAAAAAAGCAACTTCCTCCCATTTTATCCTTATTTTTGGAAAAAGAAAAAGAAAGTAATAGAAAACGGACCACTCAGTATTGTATTTTAGCAGCATATTCTTAGCTGCTTAGAATCAGTGTTGGGGGGAGGGCTACAGTGACCCCGAGCCCCAGGTGACATATCCCATTTTAAAGATATATGAAATGTTTCACCCCATAACTTTGGTTTGCTGGTTTCTTACTATTCATATTCCCTCTATATATAATTTATATCATTATGTAAGATCTGTGTAAGTGTTAACTACTCTGCTGTTCTCTTATCCATCACTTTGCAGTTAGGTTTACAAAACGTGCTAAACCTTATGCCCTAGTCAACAAAACATACATCACACCACATGCTATGCGCAACAAAATAAATTACATTACATCTTCATATCTCCTTAGTCTAGACTAGCATGCAATGTGCACCCAACCTAATGCTCCTGTTCATTTTATCCTTCGGTGTCTTATTTTCAGACCAACCAATTCTTTGTCATTCAAGTATCTGAACTCATGATAAGGGAAATTGTAGAAAAAGGGATGGAAACTAATCAAAATGAGATCCAACCTAAAACGAAGAAGAAATTTCTTGACAATAGGAACAATTAATGGTGGAATGTGTTGCCTTCAGAAGTTGTGGATGGCACCATCCCTGGAGGTTTCTAGGATGTGACTGGACAGTTATTTGTCCAGGATGGTTGTAGGGTCTCCTGCTTGAGCAGGGGGTTGGACTAGAAGACCTCCAAGGTCCCTTCCAACTTGGTTTTTCTGTTATTTTGAACCCTGGGGAGAGATCTTGGCTAAATGAAAAGAAGGGAGCTTCAGGGAAGCAAGGGTACCTCAACTGAGACTAAGAAGAAATGAGGAAACCGTAAACTTGTATGTGTGATTGGTTATCCAAATGAAGTCACAGAAATTGTAATAATGGCAAGGAGAAGCAAGAACAATGCAAGTATGTCAGATGTTTACATGGTCTCGGCTTCCGGTTTCGTGCGGCTTCGGTGGCAGCAGGAATTCGCGACTATCTGCGATTCCTGCTGCGCTTGCCGCCAAGGTGCCCCCGATCCAAACGGATCAGGGGGATATGGCTGCCCTGTAGAGGCAGCCGAAGAGAGAGGGGAGCCGGACAGGGGGTTGGGGGTGTCGCAGACCCCCTCCTCGTCTGGAAAAACCCCTTTTTCCCGAGGTGGTGGAGCGGCGGTCAGTAATAGCCGCCATGAAGAAGCCGGCAGCCGGGTAAGATTGTGCTGGAGGAAGCAGGAAAAGTGAAAGTGCTGTCTGAGCCAGGTCAATCAACAACTTTTAAACACCCTGGAAACTGAATTGTTTGAACTGCTAGAAGATACATTGTATCCCTAAGAAGATCGGAAAGCGGCGGAGTTTAAAGCTGTCAAGGGGAAAAAAACCTTTCTTTTCTTAACTCTCCCACCCCATAGAAACAGCAGATGAAGATTTGGAAAATTTATCTGAGCACTCAAGGTAAATTATTTTGAAAGTTAAAGCCAAGGGATAAAGGATTCCTGGACATTGGACTTAATAATTTAAGAAATCAGAAAACCCTTATTGGAGGTATGGATTTCTGAATACTTAAAAGAAAATTGTTGTAAGTGGGAAGGGAGAGGAAAAAAAATTGGAGCAGAAGTTGGAAAAGGAGGAGATTGCCTAGAACTTTAAAGAAAGATATATTGTAATTGGATCTCTTTGATTAAACAGTAACCCCAGAAAGAGAAATAGAAGAAAGAACTTTGGTAACTTTGGAATTCTTTGCAATTATTTTTGATTAAAAATACTTGGGTGGTTGTTTTGGAAAAAGTTTTTCTCTTCACGATGGCATCGCTTGTGGATGAACTAAAAATTGAATATAAAAAATATAAAAAAGAAAAACGAGATGGAAAAGATACTTTGGGCACTCTATTTCAATTTTTAGAAATGGCGGTATGCACTTATGAAAAGTTGACTACGCAGCAGGACGACTGGGACAAAGAAGAAGAAAAAGCCATCTTTGATGAACAATGGGTTCTTTTTGGGGAGGAGTAGAAAGAGGAAAAGAAAAAGGGGATTTTAAGGTTTGAAGAAACAACCAAAAAAGAGAAAAAGGAGATGAAAGGTGGATACAAGGTTAGAAAACAACAGAAAGGGAGTAAGAAAAGGGAGGAGAAGAGACAAAGGGGTAAAAAGGGCAAGGAGAAGAATAAGCAAGAGAGAAAGGAGGGGATGAGAAGCCTTAATGGTGGGAAGCAAGACTTAAAGAAACAAAGCTTATTTAGAGACAATGGGCAATTCTAATTGAAAAAGGGATTCTGGAAGGTACATAAGATTGTGTTTTTATATGTGTATTTAGAGTAAAATGCTTAAGATATAAATGAGTATTAATATATATGATTAGCTTCTTAATGATATGGATAGTGGTTATATATGATTTTATTTAGTTATTGTTATGTTTTTACTCCTCTCATAAAATTTATTGTGTAACTTTAGAATGTACTAAACAGAATCCCAATATAAATTAAGTAACTTTAAGCTAGGGGAATGAGTCAAAGGCGTCACTCCAATCAGTGTACAGGAGAAGTATATTAAAAGAGAAAAGATGAATGGATAGATGGAAACAGAGCAGCCAAAGAATGATAAGTATTATGAACTGAATTGAGATAAGATAAATAAAACAAAATTAAGAAAGATAAAAGAGGGAAGAAGCTATATAGAAAGTTGAAAATGGTAATAAGATATGGAACGATATATAAAGTAAATATGATTTTTGAACTTGTGTCTGTGCAAAGAGTTTTTAGCCCGGGATCAAACAGCCTTCAGAAAAGATGTTTTAGGTTTGTTTTTTGTTTTTTATGTTTTATGTTTTGTATGTTTGGGTATTGTTTATGAAAGGCAATAAAACTTTAATTAGCAAGAAATATAATTTGGATAACAGAATGAAAAAGAGAAGTTGGGATAAGATAGGAAGTTGAATAGATAACGTAAATAACAATATTACAATTTGGAATTATTTTGTACGTTCTATTGGTTTTCTTGGAAAGGATTTTTTATGTTATTATGCCTTGATTGTTTGTGTATTGTTTTTGTAAAACTAATAAATTTTTTTTGGAAAAAAAAAAGATGTTTACATGGTCTCATCTGGGGTACCTTTGCTTCCCTGAAGCTCCCACCCTTTCACTTACCCATGGTCTGTCTCCTGGGTTCCTTGTTCCACAATAACACGTGAGTTGCATCCAATCTTACCACCTTTCTCCCCATAGTTGTTATGCGAATCACTGCTGTTCTTACATGAATCATGCAGCAGTTAGCAAATCTAGTTTTACGCCACCGATTTTGCTTGCCAGAAGGTGGCTGAGAAAGTTGCCAATGGAAATCACGTGACCCTGGGATGTTGCGACTGTCATAAATACATGACAGTTGTCAAGCACCCGAATTCGGATCACATGACTAGGAGAATGCTGCAACAGTTGTAAGTGCGAGGGGCAGTTGTTAAGTCACTTTTTTCAGTGCTGTTGTAATGTCAAATGGTCATTGAATGAATGGTTGTAAGTCAAAGATTATCTGTATATTTGGGGGGGGGGTTCACACCATAGATTAAACTATAAGTAACCAAACATGTTGCACAAAAGGTCTATCACCTTCTTTATCTCTCTCTTCATTTCTGTCTCTCTGTCTCTATCTCTCTCTTTTTCTCTCTTTCTACCTCCATCTCCATTTCTACTTCCACCTCCACTTCCACCTCCACCCACATCTTCATCTCTATCTCAACCTCTATCTCCACTTCCATCTCCACCTCCATTTCCACCTCCACCTTCATCTCCATCACCATCTCCACTGCCACCTCCACCTCCATTTCCACCTCCACCTCCACCTTCATCACCACCATCTCCACCTCTACCTCTATTTCCACCTCCACTCCTTCCTCCATCTCTGCCTCCATCTTCACCTTCACCTCTACCTCCATCTCCATTTCCACCTCCACCTCCACCTTCATCTCCACCACCATCTCCACCGCCACCTCCATCTTCATCTGCATCATCATCTCCACCTCTATCTCCATTTCCACCTCCACTCCTTCCTCCATCTCTGTCTCCATCTTCACCTTCACCTCTACCTCCATCTCCATTTCCACCCCCTCCTCCACCTCCACCTCCACCTATCACTCTAAGTTTAGCCTGTTGTGCAAAGGCATCTCTTAAGTCTTTATCTGACCTAGCTAAGCATGTGCAACTTTTCCCAGGGTCACAGTTAGTCTCTGGAGGTCATTTGCTGATGACAAAGAAAGATAGTTGTCCCTGGGGAAAAGAAGGAAAACCCTACATCTAATTTAACTAAACTGTAATTTTTAAATATGGTAACTACCACACTCTCCATATATTTCATTTTTTCTTCTCTGATCCCATCCAAGATGTCTGGGGGAAACTTGTGGTGGGAGCTTTCAGCTTTCATTAAGCTTTCAGGAGCTTCCCACACATCCCAGATCTCAGGATCTCCACCCTTTGTATCCGAAGGAATCTTAACAGCTCCATTTTTGAGAGATGGGAAGAAAGGGAAGGGGAAATTCAGAAGTGAAACCCACCACCATTTGGTCTTTGCTACTCAACGGTCACTGTAAGTCAATCTGAGTTGGCAAAAGTCAATCTATCAAGACCCAGCTACCTTATGTTCCAGGCCCGAGTCTTTAAACATCAGGGAAAAAGGCTTGATATGCTCTCTTCGCAACTTATCGCCACTCCGCAAGTCGATGGTGTGTTCTATTCGCTTGTTAATTTCCTCAGGCCCAGACTGGACATGCAAAGCTTGTGCAAGATGGTTTGGAAGCAGATTTATTGAATTTCTTGTTAGGGCAGCCAGAGTCTAGGGGAAAGCACATGCAAAAAGAATAAACCGGCTAGTCCCCTTGTGGGTTAAAAAAAATGCAAAATGTTCTGTTCTTTTCAATGATCATGTCGCACTGCAAATTGTTAAACAGCATCCCATGCAATTCATTCATCCAGCCATCTGAACGTTTTAGGAGGAGAAGGCAAAGGGCATCCGAGGAGAACAAGCAAACACTCTGGGTGGCATCTTTTCAAGGGCCACCGAGCCTCTTGGTTTGTCTGCTTAACATTCATCTTGCCAGTCATTGCTTTAAAATTTAGAATGAAGTTGGGTATGGAATGGGACAATTCTCCACAGCCAACTTATCATGGTGAACTCGCCATGGCCAACTTGACATGGTGAACTCACTGTAACCAACTTGCCATAGTTTCTAGGGCACAACTTGTCATGGTGAACTAACCATGGCCAACTCGCTGTAGGATAACTTGTCATGGGGTGATTCACTGCAGGACAATTCAATAATTCAACTTAATTATTTAAAATAAACAATTATTTTAATTGTTGTCATTTGCATTTCCTTTTGTCCCTCCTTTTGCATCCTTTCTTGAATGAGCCTATTCCAACATTTCTTTGATATTAGTGTAATTCTTGCCTTGCAGGGAGTTGACCCATGGCAAGTTGGTCTGCAGCAAGTTGGCGGTGGCGAGTTGTCCTGTGTTGAGTTGGCCACAGTGAGTTGGCTGCAGCAGGTTGTCCTAGACCCAGTTGGGTTAACCTGTTAAATTTACTGAAATGTTGTTCAAAGCAGGGGATCTAACATGAGTTTTTCTTATCCAATTATCAATAGAACTTAGCACTTAGACTTATGTTCTGCTTCGTAGTGCTTTACAACCCTCTCTAAGCAGTTTACAGAATTAGCATATTGCCTCACAACCATTGGGGTCCTCATTTTACTGACCTCGGAAGGATGGAAGGCTGAGTCAACCTTGAGCCAGTGAGACTCAAACTGCCAAACTACAAGCAGCTGGCAGTCAGCAGAAGTAGCCTGCAGTACTGCATTCTAACCACTGCGCCACCACGGCTCATATTATAAAGGAGTATGATGAACATGAACACATTATCCCAGGAAGAAAAGGACTATTTTCACATTAGAACTGGCTACAGCACCCCAAATCTGTGCTCAATCACTTGGAGGGATTCATGCCGACATATCTGCTCTGCCCCGGACACAATAAGAATTCTGGTGCTTTCTGAGCTTTGTGGTTTGCTTGCAGACATTTCATTACCTGACTAGATAACATCATCAGTGCTAGGAGTATGAAGTTCACTCCCTGTTTCTATGCAGTAGTTTGCCCCAAATAAAAAGAACCCATCCCAATCAGTCTCCATGCATTGACAGTGTTGAAACAAGACAGCGACAACCACACCCTTGGACTTCGTTCAAGCATATGTCTGAGCATGCTTTCATTGCACATCAAGTCAGTGCTTTCCAAGGCTGTGAATTATGGGCTCCTTTGAACCATTTTAGGTGATTTACCCATCTGGTCAAGGCTGATCCTTTCTAGACCTCTCTGGGAGCATGCACCAGAAATGTGTACTGGTGGGAACGAGCCTTGGACTTAATGCCTCTCTAAGAACTTTGGGCAGAGAATCACTCTGTGAATGAGATGGGTGGCTTCTTATTTATTTTTTAATTAATTAATAATAGCTAGCCACTTAACTTGCTTGCATAGGTCTCTAGAAGGGTTATAGGCAGCCCTCGACTTCTGACTACCCAACATTTCCATTGCTAAGTGATGACTAAGGGTTAAAGATTAAGTGAGTTTTGCCCCATTTTATGGCTTTCTGCAGTTAAGTGAATTGCTGCAGTTGTTAAAGGAATAAGGCAGCCGTTAAGCAAATCTGGCTTCTCCCATTGACTTTGCTTGTTAGAAATCAGCTGGGTAGTTTACCAATGGTGATCACGTGTCATAACTACATGCGAGAATAGAATAGAGTGGAATGGAGTGGAGTGGAGTGGAATGGAATGGAACGGAACAGAACAGAACAGAACAGAACAGAACAGAACAGAACAGAATAGACCAGAACAGAATAGAATAGAATATAGAGAATAGAATAGAATAGAATAGAATAGAATAGAATAGAATAGAATAGAATAGAATAGAATAGAATAAATTCTCTATTTGCCAAGTGTGATTGGACACACAAGGAATTTGCCAGAATTTGAGCCCAAATTTTGATCACATGACCATGGGGATGCTACAACAGTCATCAGTGGGAAAACCAATTACTTTTTCTCAGTGTTGTTGTAACTTTGAATGTCAATAAATGAACGGTTTACGTACCATTCATCTGTATGGTTACTATCTGTACAAATATGATCAAGGGAAAGGGCTTACAAATATTTTGTATCGAGGCACCTTCCTGAAGTTCCTGTAGGAATTTCTCAACACCTTCTACTGAATGTACCATGAACCTTTGTCCAGATCTTCACACTTCAGTGCACAAAGATCTATGCAGGAACCTTCTTTGAATGGGTAGGAGTGCGTCCGTGCACTGGCAGCACTCATATATGCACTCTGGTTGTACATTGGAAAGCGGGCAGTATCATGTTTTTAACCCTTGTGCAACGTTTATGCAAGATTTCTAGCTTGCTCCTGATTATTTGTGTAATTGGAAATGCTATGGCCTGGCAGCTTCTCTGTGTTCTTATGTGAATAAACAGTTATTTGTTTTGCAGAGTGAGATGGGAAGCATATAAATTACAGTAAATTAGATAGATAGATAGATAGATAGATAGATAGATAGATAGATAGATGTGTGTGGATGGATGGATGGACAGACAGATGAAGAGATGGGTAGAGAGATGGATGGATAGGTAGATATAGACGATAGATAGAAGTTACAAGATAAATGCTAGATTATGATAAGAGATAGATGGACAGATGGATGGATGGATAGGTGTGTGGATGGGTTTGTGGGTGTGGGTGGGTGGATGGATGGATGAATAGATGGGTAGAGAGAGATGGATGGTTGGATGGATAGATAGATAAATGGATAGATAGATATAGATGATAGGTAGAAGATAGAAGATAAGTTCTAGATTATGATAGGAAAGATGGATGGATGGATGGACAGATGGATGGATGAACATACAGAGAGACACAGAGCCAGTTCTAATTAATAGGGTAGATGATTGTTATAAAAATAGTCATATCGCCTGCATTTTTTAACATTTGCATTGCAAAATGTGTTTGTATGCTTGCTTGTTTGTTTTACAGCCAGAAGCTTATGAGAGAACTATTGAGAGACGTTCAGGGAGTTTAATTTAAAAGCAGTTCAATCTAATCTCTAGATCAAATTGAATTGGAAAGTTTAATTGCATCGTCAAATTAAATGCAATGCCTTTTGGATGGAATCAAACATGCTGGGGGTGTCTATTTATGGAAAACAACCAAGCTCAGAGAACACCAAAATGAGAAAGTGATTGCATTTATGATATTTTTTTTACAAAAAACCTATACAGCATGATTTTCTTCCTTCAAAATGTTTAAATAGCATGGCATGACAGCTAACCAGTGGCGACTTGAAGGAACTGTATGAAAGAGGAACATATTTTCTTCCCACGTTAACTAATATCTATCTTTCGAAGGAAGGCTGTTACAAAAACTGCCATATTACTTGTTCTATGTGGTGATGTCCATTTGAAGCTATGCTAAATAGGAGATTTCATAAAAAGAGGAAGAAAGTTTTATTCTGACCCTATTTTTAATACTTCACAACTTAACCTTTTCTATATCTGCTTCATGCGTTTAGTAGGTCCTACAGATGCTTGCTCCTGGGGAGGAAAGCTATGGCAAATCTAGACAGCCTGCTAAAAAGCAGAGACATCTCCCTGCCAACAAAAGTGTGTATAGTCAAGGCTATGGTTTTCCCAGTTGCACTGTATGGCTGTGAAAGTTGGACCATAAGGAAGGCTGAGCGCCAAAGACTGGAGGCCTTTGAACTCTGGTGCTGGAGAAGACTCCTGTGAGTCCCTTGGACTGCAAGGCGATCCAACCGGTCCGTCCTGGAGGAGATCAACCCTGGCTGCTCTTTAGAAGACCAGATCCTGAAGATGAAACTCAAAGACTTTGGCCACCTCATGAGAAGGAAGGACTCACCGGAGAAGAGCCTAATGCTGGGAAAGATTGAGGGTAAAAGAAGAAGAAGGAGACGGCAGAGAATGAGGTGGCTGGATGGAGTCACTGAAGCAGTCAGCGTGAGCTTAAATGGGCTCCAGAAGATGGAGGACAGGAAGGCCTGGAGGAATATTGCCCATGGAGTCATGATGGGTCGGACACGACTTCACAACTAATAACAACTTGCAAATAAATGTGCAAAAGAATCCCACCTTAAACTATTTTTAATTTCACAAATTTGGACTCTATTAAACTAATACGGGTTCCCAGAGATGCAGATTTCAAATGCATCTCGACCCTAACTATGTCAGTAAAATACGGCTGGATAAATCAAAATATTTAACAGCATCCCATTTTCACAAATAGTCTTTTCAAAGTCTATCAAAAGCCTTCCTCAATTTTTGATCTCCAGCAACTGACATTCTAGAGGATGTCTTCGAATATGGAGGAGCTAAAACTACTGATAAAGCTACTCTTAAAGAGAATATTTGTAGCTCAGATTTGAGATGTGGGTTCCTTGGTGCTCCCTGAACTGGCTTGTTTTCTTGCAGATGTTTCATTACCAAGCTACGTAAGACAGCTTCTGTCATAGCACTGATGATGTTATCTACTTTGGGTAATAAAACATTTGCAAGAAAACAACCAATCTCAGAGGAGATCAAATCAAAGCTACTCTTTTGACTTATTAATCCAGGGGTCCCCCAACTTTAAGACTTGTGGACTTCAACTCCCAGAATTCTCCAGCCAGCTATGCTTTAATCTAATGACCACATCACAGGGCAATAAATTTCATTAATAATTCTACTGGTAAGTTATACGGAGAAACACAATAAATATTTATTTTGTGATGAATCC